ACCTTTACACAGCATGTGATTTCACTGATACTTCCAAATAAGAGGTCTGCTTCTGTACTGATCTGAATTATGTCTGTGGCTCAGTTCTTCAGTGATAGTAAAGATTATGTGAACAGTTACAAACCACAACTAGCTATTTTCTAATCCAGGAAGGAAGATGCCTTGTTGAGAGGAATATGGCTCTATTTTTAACTGAATGGACTGAATTTGTAAAGAGGAAATATCTGCCAATTTGGTCAAAGAAAGCAAGCTTTTTATAAACCAATTTGTTTCTCTTCAAAATCTTACCTAAATGGTCATTGTGAAAATGCAGTGCTGATCTGTTTTGACCTGCTTACGATTTTTCTTTTGTTTTGTTTTTCCTCTCGAAAACAAAGGGTCTAGATAACAACATAAAAATTGTTTCAGTATCTAAATATGTAGCCCCATTTAATGTATGCTACTTCTGTTTTTGTGGAGTTATCCCCACCTTGTTGCTGTTTCTCATCTGCTGTAATTTGTGGCTTATTAGGTCTAAATGGCTTCTCCTGCTGCTGGAAAGCACAAGCAAAAAAGACACAAAAAGGGGTAACATGCTTTTAAGCTGGTAAGAGGAAGTGTGAGGCCTTTCGGGCTGAATAAAGGAAATGTACTTCCTGAAAAGACTAAAAAATCCAGATCTTTGAGGTTATTATCACTGCTTGATGTTTTTACTGACATTTTACTTCATGCTTAAAAGAATAATTCATTCAGCAGATGGGAATCAAGAATAAGGCAAGATTTGAAAAGCACTTTTCTCTTCTGCAGTTTGGGGTATAAGCTTGCGGTGATACCAGACAAATGCCATACAGATACATGCTATAGATTTGGGATTTTATAATTTATTTTTCTGAGCTGTGTTTGCGTGCAAAGACAAAGCATTAAGAACCCTCAGGTTTTCCTCCTGCTTTCTCTCCCAAATACTATGCTCTCTTAATTCTGGAATCATTATGAAACATACAGCATCTTGGACATGAATAGGAACTTGAGATCAGGGGTCTCTCACAAAGAATAGATCAGGCCATATGTTTAACATTTTAAATATTTGAAGTGTTTCAAGATCAAAGTTCAAGGGGTGTAAAGAGAGGGCTATAAGTTTCTTCTCTCTTCTTTTAAATTGTCATAGTTCTTTCTCAATAGCCCTTTTCCACTTATATTGGGAGCGTGCTCATCAAAGTTGTTTGCGTGCTGTGAAATTATGAAGCTTGGACTTCCTTGGCCTCAAGTAGATCTTAAGCTTCAAGAATGCATTTAAGTTGTGAAAATGAACTCGTAACTCAGTTCAGCGCAAAAGCATTCTGCTCTCATGGCTGCCTGCAAGTACTTGTTACTGTTAATTTCAGAAATTTCACATTCTGATATTGAATATTTTGTATTAGAGATCTTGGTTTGTCAGCATCCTAAATGGAGAGGTAATTATGTCTTCTTGTGAGGTAATGCTGCATATCCCCTGATTAAATGACTCTGGTTTCACTAGAGCTCCTATTAAAGAATACATTGGAGAATCAAAAGGCTGCACTTAAAGATGTTTCCTGTAACTTCTAGTCCAGTTCAGTGGGACCTTATCAGACTGTCCTGCATTTGATAATAACCTTAATGGTTGTGTTATAGAGAGCCTTAATTTAGGAGTAAACAGCATCTGAATGCTATATATTGAGTTTCCACTTTTAGGAAGGTGAGATTATATTCCTCACAATATCTTTTTCAGAAGAGGCAAACTTGACCTGTAGATAGGAGGAAAAACAATGTCCTTGTGTTGCAGTATTCATGCGCAAGAAAACAAAAAGCATCCATTGTTGTTGGTGCTGTGGGGTTTGTTTATTTATTTATTTATCTTTAAGAAAGAACAGAACAGTTTTTGCCTCTAGACTGTGAATAAGTCTGCAACTAAATTCTTCTGACTTCGTATTGCAAGGTCAGACATATAGATAACTACAGGAGTATATGACTGACTTTTTTAACAGTATGTGTCAAAATAACTTTTCCTGGTTTTGATGAGTACTTCAGCGTAATATCCCAAAACAGATATTTTCCAGCTTCAGGTCTGTTTCTTAAGACGTTAAACATGAACTGTCAGACTGGAAATAGAACGAACTCAAGAGAAGCATTGGCTGGAATTAGTGCCCTGTTCAACTCCTTTTTAAGCAATCCTTCCTCTAAAGTTGTCTGTGAGTGGTGACCTGATCAAATGTTCTCCAGCATTTGTCGCCTGGCTCTGGCAGCCTGTTGCCTTTAGTGCCTGTCAGAAAGGAGAGGTGCAGGTATGTCATATGTACAGCAAAGTTAGGTACTGGCGTGTTTCGGGATCCTTTTCTTTAAGGTATAGGTAAAGTCTAACTCTTCCTCTCCTGCCAAAACACAGTGGTGGTGATGTTATTAGTATCAACACATAGGTGAAGGGGATGGGTAAGGTATTGCTAGTGGTGGTGTTCTGCTAGAACTCTCTCTGGTGGAAGAAAAGCGAGTTTCAGCTGTTGTGGGAGTCCAATAAAGCTTTCTGTTCAACAGCTGTGTTACTAAAGCATTTTTGTTGTTCTTTTAAATTAAATAATCAGAATTGAAGTATATAGTTACAAAACATTTCAAACATTTTTTTTTTTGTGTGTGTGAAGTTTTCTGAAACCTGATGCGTGTCTGTTTTGCCAGCCTAAAGTTACCACACAAATGGACAAATATTTGCATCATTCCTGTGTGACACAAACAAAGGGGAAATAACCCAACCCTTTGTATAGATAACAGAGAAAGGATAGCTTTGTTAATGTCTTTATGTTCTGTTTTACTGCTAATAAAACTGTCTTTAAATTGGTGAGGAAAAGAGGTACTAATAATAAATGGACTTTTCTGAAGTGTTTGTTCATAATTCTGTCTAAAGTCTAACATGACTCCATGCTCTGTTGTGACTGCTTTAGAAAGATTCAGTTATCTTTTCTACTAAATAAATAAAAAGGAAAAGGTGTGGGGGGGGGAAAGCAGTCCTCTCTATAGAAATTTGGAACAACAGAAATTGTGAAGGTAACACTGAGGATAAGCTTATTCCTTTTGGTTCCTTAGTTTTGGGTTTGTTTGTTTGTTTTGGTTTTTTTTTTCAGTTTTTACTTCTTGTGAGAATTCCAAGGTACCACTGTGGCCTTTGAAGAAATGTAATAATATTCCAGATGTAATCACTGAAAGGTTTCCCATGACTTTGAATTTATGGAGTTGGGCAAGGGCAGTCTAATCCTGGTCACTCAACTGACCCGACAGATGCTTTTATTTTTAAATATTTTCCGAACTTGAAAGCAGAACTGAATAATCTGAATGTTCCATCTTTAGAGGGTGCTGAGATGGTCTTCAGCAGCTGTTGAAGACCTGTACGCACTGGGCAACAAAATAATTTTCCAAATGTTCTGTGCACCTGCGTATATGCCTTCAATGTCATTATCCGCTTGGAGATGAGAGCAAGGTGTCATTTCTCACTGATGAGAGAATTGCTGTTTTTTAACAATGTATTAACTCCCATGGAATTATTCATTTGCTAACAACCATTTATACTTGGCATCTGTGAATGAAATTCATGTTTTTCTTACCCTTTGTATTAATAACAGTTGAAGCTGGTTTTAGAAATTGCCATAATTTTAAGAGAGATCATGACACTGTGTTATTCTATCAATGCTGTTAAATTGTCATAGATCAGTTTAGAAAAAAATTGTTTACAAATCAGCCAGTTAATCAGTCAGGAAAACTAAGTATCTTTTATCCCAGAAATCTAGAACTGCTTACTCAAACGATAAGATTCTGGTTGGGGTTTTTGTTTGTTTTTCCCTGGCTTGAGCTCAGCCAATATTTTCTGGATGTCATAAAAATAGGACTGGTTTTGACTTAAACCAGGAGGGACATGGGGGAGGACCAAAGTTTGTCTAACAAACTCTTCATATAAATCTGGCTAACAAAGCTGCTCTCAGTTCTGAATGCACAGACATGTTCTGCATTTGTTGTGAAGTTGTTCCTGGCTTGTTGGATACCTGACTAATTGTCAATGCATAGTTTTATAATAGTCTGGAGTAAAGTGGAATTTATTAGTGAAAGAGAATCACTTTTGTATGATAGTAGACTGTGCTGGGATAACACACAGTACTGTAGCTGGAGTAGTTCATAACTTTGATTTGACTGGTTGCATATAAATGTGTGCTTTTTTAGAGGTTTTTATACACAGATTTAAATTGCGTAGTTTCACAGAAACAATTCAAGTGTTTGTTTTTTTAAAATAGTTAAATGCAACGTTTGTATTGGCAAGTTCTTTCAAAACTTTCTCAAGTTTCATCGTATGTCATTTGGCTTGCATAGACTGTGTCTGGTATGATTGATTGTTTGTTAGGTAACGTTTGCAAATTCTTAGAGAAAAAGGTGGAACTTCTGTGGTAAGCCTCTTGAAAATTTTCCTTTTTGGAGTTAACCAAAGCAATGGGTAGCTTACAGACAGAAGATAGGATTAGCCTCAAAGAAAAATCGAGCCATCTAACCTTCCAAACACAAAGACTGCTTGCTGTAGGAATTGAGATGGCGATGTTCAAGTTGGTTTATTCCGAGGTGTTACAGAACTGGAATATTTCTGTAGTTTCAAGAACTTCTTCAAAGAAGAGTGACCCTTGGCAGCATGATGAAGTCACTATTTCAAGAATGATTTGAGTTCCTATTATGTAATTTAAATAGGACATGGTTCATGCTTCATCTGACTAAGCTGTTGGAGAAGAGGGGGTCTGACTTCTGTATGCAAAGCCTTGATCAAGGATAACCATCCACTGTGACAGACAGTCATAAAATTTATTTATCAGATGTTTCTGTTAAGAGAACTTACCTGGGGGAACTTAGAGTTTAAATAACTTTTACTTTTAACATGACTGTAATTATAATTTTAACATTCCTAGGTTGGAGGTATTCCTTCATGACACTCCAAAGAGATGGTTTATTAACTTTCCTAAAAATACCTCTTAATTATTCAACAGGTTCATGAACCACCCAGCTCCAGCAAACAGCCGCTACAAACCCACTTGCTATGAGCATGCTGCTAACTGTTACACACATGCAGTAAGTACCCTTTTTGGTTTTTTTTGGTAAACCAGAAGTTTTGGTAAATTTTTGTGGGTTTGGATGGCTAAATGCTTACCTTTGCCCGAGTATATTCATATTTACAGCCTCTCTGGTTTTGTTATATAAGCTTCAGCTATAACAGACCAGAAAATGTAATGTTAATTAGATGACTGGTAATCACTAGTCCTTGATCTGAATCCCTGGAAGCTCCAGATGCTTCCTAAGATTCATTTTCACCAAAGTTATGTGTCTTTAACTAGATGTTTTTCCTCTGTCCCAGACAAAGGATGATTACAATAAAGTGAGTATGAGCCTATACTAGTTAGTCTTGCAAGGCAGATTTCCCAGTGTTGTGCTGACATAATATTGTGTGAATTGTATACTACAGGTCCAATGAAGATTTATTCATGTTAGAAGTGGAAGGCTTTATAAGACTATCATGTGGATATTAGCTAGAAAAGCTGGAATGGCTTAGTTCTCATACTGAATATCTATGAATCGATTCTTAAAAAAAATTGCTATTTTGAAAGAGTCACTAATAATGCTGACTGCCCTGTAAAAAACGTGGTCTGTCCTTATTTTCATAATGTCAGGACCCATACTAGATTTGAATATACAATATATACAAAATAAGGAAAGCAGTTGTGTGGGTTTTTTTGTAATTGGGAAGTTTAATTTGCTGTCTGGCACTTTGAAAAGGACTTAAAAATGTGTGTGTTTGTTTTTTAAGATAGCATTTGCCCTTTTATAAAAGCAGCTTGTGCTTCTCAAACCCTTGTTTAACTCCAAATATCTGAAGTATGTTTGACTTCGTCCTCAGTCTCTTATCTCCAGTGAGTCTGTGAGCTACAGACACGAACGTTCAAGGTAGCGCATGGGACTCTTCAGTTCTAGAAAGAGCTCTGTTCTTAAGGATCCTTTGTGAATATTTTATAACCAATATACAGCTCTGTTGCTGGTAAAAACAAAATCACCCTGTTTTACATATAGAAAAGCAAACTGAAGGTTATGTGTTTTGAAGCCAGGGGTCTCATGTACAGCATTATGTAAATATACGCTTACTTGTCTAGAGAATGAAGCAACATTCTGTTAGTTAGCGCAAATATGTAGTTTATCTCATAATCCTTGTACAAATCTTGTTTACTCTGGCCAAAAAGTTAGATTTCAAAATATCTGGCAGAAGTTGCTGTACTCCTTAGCAATTCTAGCCTTCATCTAGTTGAAAAACAGGCATGTCTTATTCCTGCCTGTTAGCAGTAGGTTACAGCCAAGATGTCCTATCAGTATTTTCTGGTACGCTGCTGTTTCTGGTGAAGCTGTCTAATTCCTTTCTGAACAGTCAAAGTATGTGCTAAAACCTCCCATGAACAGTTAACAGCTTGGGGTTATGCACTGTTAACGTACCCTTTGGAAGAAAATAAAGTGTAGTATAAAAGAGGGATTGTTGCTCCTTAAATAAAATTGTATGCAATAAATAACTTTTTAATCAAAATTTAAAGCCTTCAAATAGGAATCTAATCTGGGAAAGCACAGTGCATTACACAGAAGAAGCTGGGGGGCGATGCTTGCTTCTCCTCTGTTTTACTAACTGTTAGATGGTCAAGTGGCTGAGTCTTTGCTGCTAGATTACAGTATGAGTTTTCAATTAGACACTGATCTAATTTCTACAAAGCAGAGTTTAGCAATGCTTCTCCATATATTCAAATCTTTATTCATAATTCAGAAAGTAGTCAGCTTGTATTTTACGAGCATGGCTGTACTCCTCAGTAGGTATCCCATCTGTTTTTTGACGTAAAAATACACAGTAGTCAGTTTAGGCAGCTGCTAAAAAAACCCCAAATAAACAAAAAACCCAAACCTCAACAATAAATGGGGATACAGAATCCCATGCACAGCTTTTTGTTACAATACTTAAAAGGCAACTTCGTGTAGCATAGTAAAGTATCTTCAGATTTCCAACTAGTAAGGCTATTTAAAATGTCTTGATTTTTTTTTTTTTTTTTAGCTTTAAATGAAGCACTGACTTGTCTTTAGACAGTAGGAGACAGGAAGGGCAGCTAAGCAGTTGAATACAGAGACAGAAAAGACTGCTCTGTGTTTAGAAGAACAGGAAGGAAACAGTGCATGAGAGAAGCAGGAGTTATAAGAATTTGAGTTGTAAGGTAAGCTAGATCTAAGGGGGGGGATGGCTCTTTCATTGTGAAACTTTCTACTGTACATAAGGTTTATCAGACAAAAGATATAGTCTGTTGCATTAAAACCTCAGAATTACGACATGGCTTGCTTTCCACTGTTCTAAAAGTTTCTTCAAACTTTAAAAGAAGGAGCTATTCTTAGAATAAGTTATAGTCTCCATTCCAGTCTTTAGTTGTGCAGTGCATGGAAAAAAGAAGTATAAATATTTCAAAAATGAGGGTTGGAGCCTTTACCAGGCCATTTGAGCATGGAAGAAGGAGTCATCAAAATTTCAGAAGGACTCTTATGATGAAAATGTCCTCATCCTGCCTCACTGATATTAGCAGTTTCTCTGCTCTCTGTGTATTGCACAACTCAAGTTACCAGTAGGCTTCCCACTCATGATGTGTGTCTCCTTATTTGAGAAGAGAAAATCAATGAGCAGGAAGACACCATAGTTGGCTTCAGGGCTACGGTCCTGGAGCAGGCAGCGTCAGATGGACACTGTCCTTCATGGTTCCCTCTAGGCGTCACTTGTGATTTGGGCTGCTTTGTTGGTCTTTCCATTGTCTCCCTTTCCGAAGAGGAAGTGTAGGGACCATCTTTATGCTGATAGTATTTCCCTCTCAATGAAAGGCACATGGGGTCACAACAATAACATCATGCTTTGCTACAGTGGCTTGTGCGTCAGAGGGCATTGTTGCTGACTATGTGACCTGCATAGCCTTGTGTGCAAAGAAAATACCTTCATTTGGCATGAATGTATGTACAAAAGCAAAATTTTTAACAGATTTTTTTTAAAAGGCTCTATGGGAGAGGTTGTCTACAGAAATACGGAAAAAAAACTGTCACAAATAGCAACCACTGCAAAAAGACTTAAGGCACAAAGAAGATGCTGAAACAGTAAGCTGTAAACCTGATCAGGCATGCTTCAGGGAAATTCCAGGGTTGTGGTAGTTGGTTTCCCAAAATACATCACACTTGGGATTGTGCCCAAGTCTCTTTTGAAAGACTCCTGCCTATAGCTGTAAATAAATACATTTTAAACCTTTGTCTTCCTTCTTATTGCAGAGGGTCTTGTGACTTCATGCTCTCAATTGTTCTGGCATTTCTCCAGAAAACTGAATGAAACTGTTGCCTACTCTCGTGTTCTGTAAACCTCTCTACCAGTGCCATTTCTGATTTAGCAAGTATTAGTGAAGGTGCTAAAATTAGTAAATTTGGAGCATCACAGTTCTGGTTTTATTCATAGTACATTAAGTTGGTGGGTTTGATAATACTCATTTGGAAGAGTTGCACTTCATGATGCAAGCAATGCATGATGCAAAAAAACCCTAAAACTTTTTGTGACTTGTAGCAAGGTTTATTACTGGGAACGTTGGCAACTTAGAAATGCTATGTCGTTGCTGTAAAGTGGCATGGCACAATCATACTCATTCTATTAGTTCTGATTCTTTGACTACTTTTTTGGCAAATACCCCTTCTTTCAAAGGTCTGTTTGATTGCTTCTCCATTCTGACAATTAAAACGCAATTCTTGCACTAGACATTTTTTTTTCAAATGAACATGGGAAAATCTGTCTTGTTGACTAAAGAGTCGTGTTTCTTTTGTAAGATGGATGTTAGATATAAAGAAGTCCATTTTATCATATGTTATCTGGTATGGCATTAGTATCTAAAGAACTTCTATCCAGTTGGCTGGAACAGCAGGATGTAATTTCTGGATTTTGTCTTTCGTATAACTATTTTTGGTCAGAAAAAGAGTAATAAAACATCTCTTGTTTAGTCTAACTGTTCCCATGATGCATATCAGGCACAGAAGGAAAACGTTTCCAAATAGAATACTTAGAAAAAACAATAAATCCTTCTCATGTTAGTATAGTGCTGTTTCCCCCCTGTGAGAAGTAGAATCATTCTTCAGAGCCAGGACAAGGCAGAAAAAAGATTAATTCAGCTCTTCATCCATGGACTTCTTTGTAGCTGTATTCTTCATTCTGAAGGTGCAAAGAAAGAGTTGATAAGAGAATTTATTTGTTTTAACTCTGTAACTTTATATACAATAATTATTGGAAAAAAATATTGACAGCAAACTCTGTGGCCCATTTGAGCATTATGCATCATAGCTTATTTTGTAAAATATTTATTTTAGTAGACCAGTAAAAAGCTGGGATATCAGTGTAAGAAAGGCAAGTTGTTCTGTGTAATATCTAAATCTGCTTTCCAAAGAGGTCTTCCTTCCTGTAAAATGGTCCTAGTCAGAGCTCCGGGCAGAATCTCTGAGTAGCTCACACCCAGGCTTTTAGTAGGGAATTAGTAGGGATTTGTTATTTTACCTAGTTACTTGTGTTTGTGACACTTGCATGTACATAATCTCTCTGAAACCTTTAAGTTGTCTGTCAAGTATAGTCAAAACTGAAATTTGCACCAGAAATCGGGCAGGAAACTGAATGTGGATACAGCATGACTGCACAGCTTAAAGAAGCACAGCTGAAAAAAACTATTTCTGGAGCTTAGCATCTTCCTGTCTCCTGCAAAATCTAAATGAAACAACTGCCACATCTCGTCAGTTCCTTGCTGTCCCAAGGGCTTCAGCCACACTTTAAGCTGCATGCCATATGTGGAAAAGAGGAGTGACTAATCTCCTGAGGAGTGAAACACTTTAACCTCTCTTGAATTTGAGGGCTGTCCAGGATATGTATATGGAAATTTATGGTTTGTGATAAATGAGACGCCAGACTGGCAGACTATTTTTGGCCTTAAAGTGCATGAGGTCAACTTCCATAGTCTCATTACAAAACTCGGAAAGTGTTTCACCTCTGGTCCCAATGCTGTGGATATAGGAATACCATACTTTTCATTTCCATGGCTCCACAGCTTTTGGCTTGAATGTAGAAGATAAAATAGTAATGAAGCTACAGTTGATGTACTTCAAAAGCCAGAAGAAAAAGCCACTTTTTTTTTAACTCTCTGAATTAACCCAACTACTTTTCAGATTCATTCGGTATACTCTGCATCTTCTCAACTGTAGCTGTGATCAGAGCCTCAATTTCTTCTAGTCTGGAAGTAGATAAAGGGCAAAGACTCTGCAGGCTAGACCAGAACTTTGCACTCTGAGCTATCAAACCTGTAATGCAAAGCAGAGTTGCCAGATTTGTTTAAACATTACTTGTTCCTAGCTTTATTGTTTAGCATGGGAGACTCAGATTAAACTAAGAGGAATTTAACCTTATTTACAATTCAAACATCTTAAGACATCCCTTAGGGGCTAGAAGGGAGCTTGTGTGGAGTTTTTAACTTAGAAGGCTGACAAAGATGCACCTTCATAGTAGAAGAAGATGGGTAGAACTGCATGAGACAGCAGGTTCTTTTCTTTAAATACTTGTTGGATGTGACACACACACCCCGCACCCCCCCCAGTTTGTTGTTGGTTTTTTTTTCTGAATGAGACAAGGTACATGACGTAATTTATTCTGGAAAGGAGTGGAGTTTTAAATCTATATGAAGCCTGTGTCCCACTTGTTAGATAGCATGCTGATTCCATCGTGATGATCTTATAGTGGTTGTTTTGGAAGATCTGAATTAAATCTGCTTGAGAGGGAGGTGGTAAGGAAAACAGACTCGGATATGCTGCATTAAAAGAATGTCAACTTTGTGCATTAAGAATCTTTTCACAAAAGAAGTTTGCAGCTAATGTATTTATGATATCTAAACCCCAAGTTCCGCAAAGCCTTTTCTTAGTTATCTTCTATTTAACTACATACTTCCAAATGCTTTATTTTTTCATTTGAGATTTAAGTTTATTTTGGTCTGTCCTGTGAGGTGAAATTTATCACAAACAGGTACAAGCTGGATGTCTGGGACATTGTGGAAGTCTTGATGCTCCTGTGTCAATATACAACTAGAAGAAAAACTTGTTCCTGTTATGAGTGTGCTATCAAATGTCATACGTATGGTCTCATATGGCATATTGCAGTATTATCTGCCCTGCTGTTGCTGTACTGTGGGTAGTAGCTACGTTGGCTGCGAGTAAAGACTTAACAATGGCCTTTTGTCTTCTTAGTTCCTCATTGTTCCTGCCATTGTGGGTAGTGCCCTCCTCCACCGGCTTTCTGATGATCGATGGGAAAAGATAACAGCATGGATGTATGGCGTGGGGCTCTGTGCGCTCTTCATTGTCTCCACAGTATTTCATATTGTTTCTTGGAAAAAGAGTCACTTAAGGTATCACTATAAGATGTTTTATTTTCGTGTTCTGCAATGCTTTTCCATTGTGTTTCTCAGTCAAAACCGTGATTTTACAGAAGGCTGGAGTGGTACCTTGTACTGAATCATGGAAAAACCACCCTTGATTCTATTGGAAGAAATAGCGAGTCAAGCTCATATAAAATAAACTTCAGTGCTTTTTCCACAGAAAATATGTGGTTTTCTAGGCCCTAGTTGGTCTTAATCCACAAGTTGCATAGGAAAAACATAATCGAAGTGCATGAAGGATAGGAACCCGTTGCAAAAATGAGAATGCTGTCTGGGACTATGGCGTGCTCAAATACTTTGAACACAAATTTTGCCAAGAGAATTATAATGGAATACGCAGGTAACTATGAGAAAGCCTCCTTGGGAGCAAGGCAACAATAGCAAAATTTAAGATATTATTTTATTTAATTGGTTTTGTCCCATTATGACTCCTATTATAATTCTGGGCCATAAATAGGATTTAACCTATAGTCACTAAATAGCCACAGTTTCTGGAGGCTTTCTGCCTCCTTGCCAGAGAGCAGGGTCCATGATGGAGGGAAGAAGGGGAGAGGAATGGAAGAGCTTTTGTCTCTTATGTGTCTTACTTATGACCTCCTGAGGTTATAAGTCAGCTGGACAGTCTTCCAAATGGTTTTAAGAGGTTATGGAGCTGATGGTATTTTCCCCAAAGTGGTTCTGAAGTGTGTCAGGAAACTGAGATGATACAAAAGTCTTTCCAAAAATCTGTCTTGATGACTTGTTCTCTCTCTCACTAGGACAATGGAGCATTGCTTTCACATGTGTGACAGAATGATGATCTATGTGTTTATTGCGGCATCATATGCACCATGGTAAGAATACTGCAGCTGCGCTTCAGATTTAAGGCTTTTTCCAATATAAACAGTTTATCATTGTGGCTTTCCAAAATTTATAGGTATTGTCTTAGATGCAATTGACCGCATTTTACATTATGAAATGCAACATAATCTCCTGGGACTTGCTGAACAGAAAGTAATATTAGAAAACAGCAGAAAGTAATTTATTTATATTCCACATACCCCAGTTTATGCTTCCCTCACATCAATGCAAACACACCTTCTGCCTCTCTATGTATAGAACGTCCAAGTGTCTTCTCCTCCATCATGCCTAAGTTATAGCTGTGAATATTTCCTTGTTTTTATCAAGCCCCACTGTTCTTGTGTCAGCATGGTCTATTCATTCATCACTTTTGTCTCTCTTTCTCCTCTTACCTCCAGGTTAAATCTACGTGAGCTTGGACCTCTAGCGTCTCACATGCGTTGGTTTATCTGGCTGATGGCTGCTGGAGGAACCATTTATGTATTTCTCTATCATGAAAAGTAAGAATTATTATTTGCATTTAACCTTAAACTGAAATTAAAAGGTGGGGGCTTTCTTGCTTTGTGAGTGTTCCTGTCCAGCCTTTCACACATTGAAATAAGAGCTTTGAAACAGTGGAAATTTGTGATGAGAGTGATGCAAACTTACATCTTGTCAGAAGATAATTGTATTCACTCTGTCATAATATGTCTTTAGGCTATATTAGTGCCTTCTCTTAAAGGGGTGAGAGGGAAGTATCCACTTCTAAAACTTTAAAGCAGGCGTGAGAGTGGGTAAGGTAAGAAACCAGCTGAAATGATAGCTTTTTTAATGCCCCTGTTTTTGTAGCAATGTGTATAGATTACACTGCAACATTATATTGTTTATATATACTGATGCGTGTTGACTCCAGCTAGCTGCTTGGTTTTGTTTTGAGATGTGAGTCCATGAGTTTCAGATTTGAATTCTTGAGCCGGCTGTCATTACTTACCCTCAGGGCGCAAGACTCAACTTTTTTGTTTTGGAGATGAGCTACTGAGGTTCTTGTCAAATAAGAAAATACAAGTTGCCTCAATGTTATTCTTACATTTATTTGCATTAAGCACTAGTATCTAGACAGTATTTAGCGAAGAAGGTATTGCCTGCAACTGTACAATGCAGAGATAAATACTAGCTTTATTTTTATCATAAAATATTGGTTGTATGGAAAGCTTCTGGAATAGTTTAATGGACCCATACTAACATAAAATTTAAAATATTTTCTTTACTGTTGAAGGGAATATTCATCCTCTTGTACACCTCCTTAAATGACTAAAATCATTCCTTTTTAGGTATAAGATCGTTGAACTCTTTTTCTACTTAGCGATGGGATTTTCTCCTGCTCTGGTAGTGACATCCATGGTAAGGAATGTGACTATTAACATTACAAACACACAAACTTTCCTTTTATAACTAGCGTAAGTTCCAGTGCAGTTCTCTTTCTTCTCAAAAGATGTTAATTTTAGTCCACCATGATTGTAAATCTTCTCTGTAGAAGAACGACATGTAGTCAGTTATATTTTGGGTTTATAGTTTACATTCGGTGAAATGCTGCTTTGTTGTGCTGAATTGGGGCCACAGGGTCTAAACAAAAAAGAGCTTAGGTTCTAAACTTCACTTCGGAAAACCCTCGCTTCTGAAAGGATATTGGACAGAACAATTCAATTGCTTCCATTTTAGTAAAAATGACAAAGATGTGAAGTACCTCAGCCTGTCAAGGAATGTTTCTATATTTTACTATTTATGAACTTACCTAATACCCACTTATCACTTACGGTTGGGAAAGAAGCTTTTATTTAAGAAAGTGGAATGGTCTTCTGATAACATGTCCTTTTATCTTGGTGTATATATAAGAGCTCTCTGGAAAATCTAATCAATTGATTCTGTGGTCTGGACCAAGATGGGGGAAGTAAATTGATTCTTGCCCATTTCAAAATTACTTATGAGCAACAAAGCTAGAAGACTTTTGCTTCTTACTAGAGGCTGCTTTTTATCAGCAAAGCAGGGGGAAAATTGAAAAGTCAAGAAGTAGTTGAACTGTATCAAACTGATGCACTGTATCTGGGACACTTGATCTCAGTGATTGGTGGTTGGTTGTTTTGTTTGTTTGGGTTTTTTTTTTAAAAAAAGGTTGCTTGCTGTGTCTGTAAAGCATCCTACTCCATCTTGTCTGCTTCAAAACTTTGACTATTATTTATTTATAGTTACACATTTTAAATAACTTTGAATAACCTTCTCTGCTGCTAATATAAATCCAACACCTCTACAAGGCAATGCCAGTTTTAGTACTTAACTGTTCCACATGAATGCTGTGCTATACCAAAACGTTGCTGGACGCTTCATCCAAGTAGTAGGAGTTGTGTTAAACTCGCACTGATGCACAGTAATGTGGTTTTCTTTTTCTCCATGTTTGTCTGCTCTGCTAATAAGCATGGAGCAAAACATCAAATTTGTCTTAATTCTCGAGTTATCCCACTATTACTCCTATAGTGCTATTGAGACATACTATGTAACTATATTATTATAAATTTCAGTGTAATATAAATATACTGGTTTTCTCACCTGTCTATCTGTCATATCCAAGATGTTCTGAGTTGACAGCCAGCTTTCTTTTCTTGGGGAGAAAGCGCTTTCTATTTGTACATAAAATACTCTTTCCTTGTTAATTGACAGAGCAACACCGACGGACTTCAGGAGGTTGCCTGGGGAGGCTTGATATATTGTCTGGGTGTGGTGTTCTTCAAGAGCGATGGAGTCATTCCCTTTGCCCATGCCATCTGGCATGTATTTGTGGCCACAGCAGCAGCTGTTCATTACTATGCCATTTGGAAGTACCTTTACAGAAGTCCTGCAGACATAATTCGTCACTTATGAGAAATATATATATAAAGAAAAATAATCTGCACTTGGCCTCTGTAACAGTATTATTTGACTTAAGGAATTCGGGGAAATTGGAAAATTGCACAGAAAAACTGCACTGACTTTGGTAGTTCTCTGAATACAATTACTGTGAACTGATGTTGTATGTGTCCTGCAATTGCCCATCGTATGGCAAGTGCTGTAAATAACCAAGATACTGTACTGCAGTACCAAGAGTCCATTCCATGTTAGTAGAACTGGCTACCTGATGTTTACAAACAAATTTTGTATTCTAGTTTAATTTTACAATTTTTAACTATGTGAATTTTTCTAAATTAGTGATTGAAAAGGTGAAGTCAGTGCAATAGCGAAAATGTAACTCTCTTGATTTGAAATTGGTTTCTACCACCTTTCCACTAGTCATTTATTAAACACAAATCACAGACAAATAATCTAGTTTTACCACCCATTATCTTGGTATAATGTGACTTTTATAGAAACTTTTTGTGTTTTTTGTAAACTTTAAAAGTACATTTGTTGAACTGAAAACACACAACTGTCATCTATGCAGTTACTCATGTTGCAAAATCTTGCAAGAAATGGTTACATTCCACATACTGTACTGACAAGCGAACACTGTACCTCTTCCAAAGGTTGTATTACAAGTGTAATTGTAATAACCACTTTGACGAACTAAAATCTAAATGTGATTCTGCTGAGTTTTAACATGGTGGTATTGTGCTCATCTAAACTACCACTTAAACAGAACCTTAATTTGGCTTTATCCATGATGGAAATGAAGTGCTTTAAAAGAAGTAGTTACTGTGATTTTCTCCTCAAGATTCCCAGCCCTGCCCCATGCCAAGGGGGGGGTGGAAGCTGACTTCCCAAGGGCTGGCAGTATTAAGGGAGGTGGAGAGCTAACGTTGCCCCATCTGAGCCAGAGTCAGCCATTTCTCCAAAATATGTATACCCATATCGGTGCTGTCATGTTAAGGCTTGGATTTTCAAAGGGATTTGAATTGGCCGCCAGAACCTGTTCCCACCAACTTTCCGTGGGGTGGTTCTGTTGGGAAATCCTGGTCTGAGTGGTGGGTACAGAGCAGTTGCTGACCGCTCTGCATTCGCGGTTATGGGTTCTTCACAAGCACGGCCTTTCGGGGAGGAGAGCTTGAAGAATTTGAGAGACAGTGTCACTTGTCATTCTGGGAATTAACACCGAGTAAAACTGGTCTTTAATTGTGTTGCTGTCTTTCTGTACAGGAAAACCAAACGCGATAGCAAGTCATGATTGTAGAACATGTGCATTAAATGACCAGATGTAGAAGAGTCTTTGTAATACTGTTTGTCCACTAATTGTATCCTGTCCCACTATATAACGAATGTCTTATATTAAGATTGACTTTATCCTTTTTCTAATTTACTCAGTTTTTCATGTCAGTATTTAAAAACGAAACCAAAACGTGTTGCCTTTTTCAGATTTTGTTCTGGATATTGCCTGTCTGCAAACAATAAGTAGCAAGATAGGGAAGTTTTTCAAGGTACCGTTTAATACTGCACCTAGATTTGCCGGTGGGTTGCATATTTTAGAATATATATGTTTGTATATGGAATTTGCAAGAGGGACAAATTTTAAACTTAAGGCATTGAAGCAGAATTGCTGTACGGTGTTAGCAGGTGACTGGAGAAGTGGCACTACGCCAGCAGACTAGTCCGCTGCCCTGGAAGAGTGGAACAGCTGGGCAGGTGATTCCTAGTGCAACGGTCTCGCACATCTGGATGCCTCAGTTTTTTAACATTGTGTCTATTTTAATATTTTCCACTTTTTGTGAGTTCATATATTTTGTTTAAATGCAGTGCTGTTAAAACCACTAAAATACATGTAAAGGTTTTCTGTAGTCGGAAGTGAAACTATTGCTTGAATATATTTGTTCTAATTTTAAGTTAATTTTTCATGGCATTGCTTTTTGGAGTGTTTGAAATGGTTTTTAAAAAATTTCAATTCGCCAAAAATATTTTGAATTACTGTATTCTAGTCAATATGATATTGAATGTACTAGACTAACAATAAACATTTTGTGCAATTTGGAAACTGTTGTATTTGTGGCGGTTGGGTTTTTCCCCCTCCGGCACTTAGGCGGGAAAGTGAGGGTCTAACACTGTTCCCACTCTTGACATGAGAGATCCAGACTTGAACCAAGCGACCCTCACGCTTGCTCAATCAGCTCTTTAAATAAAAATAGTAGGAAGAATTACAATCCAAATTATTCAATTTGTGGTATGGAAAAAAAGAATGTTTATGTGTAAATTTTGGTTAATACATAACACTAAAATACATAAATCTGATCCTATCCCTGTAGGAGCGCCACTGCATTCAATACAGACAAGCTGCACTAAAAACGTATTTCTGTCTGGAAAACAAATATGTCAATTGGCCGTTTGTGGTGGGTTTTTTTTTTCCCTTCTTTCTAATTGCAGCTCTCCGGGCTGGTTCCTCCCAGGAGTACCAATAGTGCTTTTTCCTGTAATGTTTGCTGCAGTGGCAGAGATGGGATTTCTTTGTCTTCCTGAAGCAAATGTTTTTAAAAGGACTCACTTCTGTATTTTCTGTGCCTCTCGGTGTAGGAGTGCAACAAGTGCCCTGAGTCTAAATGAAGCAGTGATAACGTGCGTTTAGTTTTGCAGATGGACCTTTCCAGGGGGTGTCTGGGATGCAACAGGAGCTTTCAATACCAGGTACTTTCAGGCTCATCACTTCCCCGTCTTATTTTTCTAACACAATATTGTGTGCATCTAAAAAGTAATTCAGTTATCTGAAGGGATTCTAAGGATCTATTCTAGCATGCTCTTCTTTGGGTTTTCTTGCTATTTAATTCAACAGCAACAAGGAATGCACAAAGAAAGCATTCCTTTTTCTTTCTGTTAACAAAAGCAGTCATCAAAGCAGGCTGCTTCTCAAATGCTGTCTTCCCTACATCCCTCTTAATTGCTTGTGATTACAGTAAGAAATTGTATTCCTGTCTTCCGGTTCTAGGTAAGTAATGAAGTCCTTTCAAAGGAGGCTTCAGAGTCTGAACGTGGTTATCACAACCTTTGCTGTAACTATTAAATTATGGTGTGAAAATGGGATACTTCAGAGAATCACGGAATCACAGAATGGTTTAGGTTGGAAAGGACCTTGAAGACCATTGAGTTCCAACCCCCCTGCCATAGACAGGGACACCTTCACTAGACCAGGTTGCCCAAGGCCACGTCCAGCCTGGCCTTGAACACCTCCAGGGATGGGGCCTCAATTCAGAGACTCTTGGGAACAGTGGTTAACATGGCTTTCCAAAATTTAAAAAAACTTACCTAAATTCCAGATCGGTGTTAGCAGACAGAAAAAACAGTGTAAAAACACATTAAATGGAACTGTTTTGTTCTAATTAACTGGGTTTTGCCTGGTTGGCAGCACCAAGCCTGTGTCAGGCCAGCAGCGCTGTGGTTGTTGGGTAGACCAGCAGGTCTCTGCGCTGGCTGGCGTGAGGCACTTCTGAGGCTCAGGGTTAGCGCCACGGTAGGTCCTAATTTGCAGTTCCTTACATGATCTTCACATGTACGGTTCCTTACATGATCTTCACAGCTGGTAACTGAACTCTTACGTACTGATACGTGAATTGTGCAAATCACACAGGTATCACAGCATTTTTAGTGCTGCTGCTTGGTGAAATATGTGTGTTGGGGGCTGGAATGAGCAAGTAAAAGAGAAGATTCTAAAGTTTTTTCATAGAGGTTTTTCTATTAAACCTCTTGCTTAAACGTCCACCCTCAGGACCCTGCTGCTTGTTCGGAAACCTCTTAGAGTCACCTACACAATTCTTTATTTAGGTCTGGTGTGTTTAGCCATGTGATCTCTCTGGAGGCGAAGGCTGTCATGTTCACATCGTGCTTGACTTAAGTCTTTCTTCCGTGCTTGGCTATTTTTAAAAGAATGGAGGATGTTAGTCTCTGCTCGCTAATTGCATTCACCATCAAGAGGTGTCATAAGATTAAAGCTAAAAATAGTTAAAAGAATGACCAGGATGGTGAGGCGGCCGCTTGCTGCTCCGTGGTGCGGGCGCTGTCAGCCTTTGCCTTCCCTGTCGTGCTGAGCAGGCGCTCGGGTTGTGGCATGGACCATTGCTCTTCAACAGCTTGAGGCTCCTCACTGTCATCCTCCTACTGTTTGCAAGTGTTTCATTCATCATTTGTCTGAATAAATTCACTAAGCACTGTCACAGTCAGGAAATGGAACACAGAAGACACCTGAACGTTCACTAGTGGCTATTTGAAGCTGTTCAGATGTTTCAATGTGGTGTTACAGAGGTGCCGGGGGAGTGGTGCTGCCCAACGGTGGCACAAGCAGTAGCACTGCTGTAGGACTGTGCCCGGGGCTAAACACCCCCCGGGCTGCTCAGTGTCGCGTTTTGGATGTGCTTTACAGCCTATCTTGAAAATTCAGCACGAAGATGCGTAAGGTGAAGCATCTTCAGTGTATCTGTGCCACATTCAGGCCGAACTAATGCAGCAGCTCAGTCTTACAGGTCTGACCTCTCAGGAAAGCAGTGGTTTCTTTAAAAAAGAGTTTTCAGATTCCTATTTGGGTAGTATTTTGTAGCGGGCTGACATTTTGCTACTGAACTGGGTGTCTGCTTGCTTGTTTCCCCACCAGGCACCACCTCCTGCTGGTGGCGAGCCTGAGGGCAAGCAGGCAGGGCGGCAACGCTTGCTCCCTTCCTAGAATCAGGGCAGTTCTTACTAAGGATAAACTGGGGAATCAAAATCCTCTTGCAAAAGGCTGGCGGTGAAGCCAGCACCAGTTTTATAACAGAAGTTACATCATTGACTCTAATGAGGCTAGCGTGCTCTCCGAAGGATATATTCATATGTCTTTGTTGCTTAGCAGCGTGAGCCCTGCTGGCCATGGATTTGTGCGCCCAAATCCTTTAGGTGCCTTTGAAAAATCGCCTTTAAATTTTCACATAGGTGAAAAGCCGTTAGTAGAGACTGACTGAATGAGTGGGTTTAGCTCCAGCAGATGTCTCCTCGCTTTCTGGTGTGTCGGGTTTGCTTCCAGGAGTGACGCAGAGGTTTGGTGCACAGGCAGTGACCAGCCACAGTAGGCGGCTTCTGTGACATGGTCAGCCAGTGACCGAGCCTCATCTCCGGAGGACATTCAGACCAGACCACAGGATGTTTGGATGGAGACCTGTAGTTATCCAGGATGTTGAAACACCAAAACCCAGCCCGCAACACCTACTGAACTTTGGGAACCTGTGGGACATTGGGCTTCAAACAGTGACGCTTTAGTAGCATCATAAATGCTAAAGGATTGAACATCGTTGCTGTGGGAACTCAACCATCTTCTCAAATGAAAAACCATGCACTTGGGAAGCTAAGCTTTAGTTTAGGAAGGATTTAATTCAATTTTTTTTTTAATGTGTGTCTTCATATATCAACATGTTTGACTGAATGAAAATGGCTTTTGTCTTGAAGCTGATGGTGGTGCTGAGCAGCTTAATCAGCCTTCTGCTAAATCACTGAAAATAAAGCTTGAAGGGACTCAGATATTTTTAGCCCATCCTCTGCCTGCAGGCAGGACGAACGCTGCCTGTCATTCCTGACGCGCTTGTCCAACCTGTTCTAAAAAGCCTCTAAC